GCTGAGAGTTGATTCAGTCTAGACCTTTCTCACTGCAAGGCAGTTCTAGGGATGGGGAGATCATGGCCCAAGGCCACGCAGGGATCCATATCTCCTTCAATGGCTGCCGTGTTGCTCCTTCCTGCCTTGGGGCTGGATTGTAGTGAAGTGGCACTGGCCAGGAACATGATGGCGGGAGGAAGTTAGAGAGGAAGATGCTGATCTGGGAGGTGAGAATGACTGAAGGGAGGGGGAGGAGGGGGGAGGAAGGGAAGACAGAAAAATTGAGAGAGGGAGGGAGTGTGCAAGCAGGTTATAGAGGAGCAGTGAGTTGGGAGTTATAGCTGTTCCTCCATGTGGGGTTCTTTGTAGAACCCTGAACTGGGTGTACTCTCCCCCTTTTCCTTTCACACAGGTTCTGTGTCTCATGTAGCCCTGGCTGTCCTGGAACTCGCTATGTAGACCAGGCTGGCCTCAAACTCACAGAGATCTAACTGCCCTGGCCTCCCGAGTGCATGAGCCACTACTGCCTGGCTTCTCTGGGTCTGTGAGGAGTATAGGTTGACATCTCCTGGTCCATCTTGACGATGGGTCTTACTTGACTTCTTTACTCACTTGTAGAAGAAACTACCTTCCGCAGCTCCTGAGGGCACCAGGAAGCCAATGCCCCAAATTCCGAAGCAGCCGTTGGTCCCCCCAGTACCAGGCAGACCTGAAGAGTCAGATTATGAGGTATTCTGATGTCTTGTGTTCTGATGTCACGCCGTCTCTGGTAGAGACCTGTACCTTTTGTCCTCTGCTGAGGAGTCTGTAGGACAAATGCCTAACAGAGTTTTTCTTTAAGAGCCTCCTCAGTTGTAGGGACTGAGAAGATAGCTCTGTCCCAACCCTCACATAAGAGTTGAGCATGAGGGCATGCGCTCTAATCTCATTACTGGGCAGGTGAAGTCGGTGGAACCCTGAGACTTGCTGGACAGCCAGCCTTGCAGAATCACAGGCTCTAGACCATGGAGTCTGTCTCAAAAACAAAACAAAGCCACAACAATAAAGCCAAAGCAAAACTAAACACTCAAGGTGGACGGTTCCTGGGGAACACCATCTGAGGTGACTGCTAATTTCCACACCTATGCGCTCACACATGCATTAACACGCACATATACCTACACAGGCACAAATGTGTGCAAGTGCCCACACGTGTTCAGATGTACACACATGCACTGCTCTCACAAAATTTATTTCAATTCCATTTAATTTCCTTTGTTATCAAGTTCATTTCCAAACCTGTCCACCCCATTTACCCCACCCAGTTTCTGTTGAATCTTTCTCTTTCCCTCCCTCCCTCCCTCCCTTCCTCCCTTCCTCTGTTTCCTTCTCTCCTCTCTCCTCTTTCTATTTCTATGGTCTCTACATGTAGTTCACCACGGCCTTGAACTCATAACCCTCCTGCCTCAGCCTACCCAGTGCTAGATAGCACATGTGTGCCCTCCACACTTAGCTTCTGTTTCTGTCTTTCCATTTCAGTTTATCCCAGATATTTTACTTTCCACCCCACTTAGGTTTTTTATGTACATCTCTGTGCATCTATGCATGGGTGCACGTGTGTGCACATGTGCATGTGTGCGTGTGTGTGCATATGTGTGTGCCTGTGTGTGCATGTGTGTGTGCATGTGTGTGTATGTGTGTGCACATGTGGGTGTGTGTGCATGTGTGTGTGCATGTGTGTGCCTGTGTGTACCTGTGTGTGCCTGTGTGTGTGCATGTGTGTGTCTGTGTTGCCTTGTGTGCATGTGTGTGCCTGTGTGTGTGCATGTGTGTGCGTGTGTGTGTGCATGTGTGTGCCTGTGTGTGTGCACATGTGTGTGTATATGTGTGCATGTGTGTGCATGTGTGTGTGCATGTGTGTGTGCATGTGTGTGTGCACATGTGTGTGTGCATGTGTGTGTGCATGTGTGCCTGTGTGTGCATGTGTGTGCGTGTGTGTGCATGTGTGTGTGCATGTGTGTGTGCATGTGTGTGTGCATGTTTGCATGTGTGCCTGTGTGTGCATGTGTGTGCATGTGTGTGTGCACATGTGTGTGCCTGTGTGCATGTATGCATGTGTGCATATGTGTGTGCTTCTGCTCAGTTGCTCCTTAGCACATCTCTTCCCCTTCCATTCTTTTCTTTCTCTTCTCACTCACTCCACGATCTCATTTCCTTGACCTTGCTTCACTGCTACAAGGCCTCACTCTGTAGCCCAGGCTATCCTGCTACTCTCTAGATATATCAGGCTTGTCTAGAACTTACGGCAGTCCTCCTGCCTGGGCCTTCCCAGCTCTAGGGTTGTAGATGTGCATTGCCATGGGCACGTAAGCTTCAGTGTGTCTAATTTCAAGTGCCTTAGGAGAGAATCAGACTGGTTCATGCTATTGTGTGTCTTTTGTTCAGTTTGGTGAGTTCTCCAGTCAGCCGTGCCTTTCGCAAGTGGAACTTTTTTGTTTCTGTTATTGTTTTGAGATAGGGTTTCTCTGTGTAGCCCTGGCTATCCTGGAACTGACTGTGTAGACAAGGCTCACCTCAAACTCAGAGATCCACCTTCTTTGTCCTCTGCCAAGTGCTGAGATTAAAGGTATCTGTCATTGCCGCCTGGCCGCAAATGGACCTCTGAAATGTATTCCCATCAGAGGTTAAGGTGGGGAGCCATGGAATGTCCCGTTATCTGAGGGGAAGAGCTCTTTCCGGAAAGCTCCCATAGGAGACTTTCTCTCATCCATCTTTAGAGAAAGTGGAGCTTTGTGCTACTTCTTGTTGCGAGGAAGGCTGTCCAGGGGAGGGCTTGGACTTCCCAGGCTCTCTAACATGTGGGCAAGCGAGTCTGTCTAGCTCACCGGAGATCTAGTACATTCTGGAAGAATGGAACGAGCAGCCTTGGTCACGAGCATGGAGTGCGGTGTGTCAAGCGGAAGGATGTCAAGGGCCTGCTGGGGTGCTTTCTGTATCACTTTTCCCCAGTGGAATCACCACTGATTGTGCAGCTTGGGGTAACACACTCACCATTCCCAGTCTCTGCGGGTCAGTAGGTCAGCATGACCCACATAAGCCTCCTGCAAGGCTGGAATGGAGGTGCTGGTGACCACTGAGGTTTCAAGTGGGGTTCCACTTGGGAAGGATCCATTTTCAAGTCTGTGTGGCCCTGGTTTCTCACTGATAGTCAAGTGGCCTTCAACCTTTTCCTATGTGTCCTTCTCTGCAAGCAACTTATAGCACTGACTCCCCCCTCCCTCTCCCTCCCTCCCTCCCTCCCTCTCCCCCTCTCTCTCCTTGTTGTTCGTTTTTGTTTTTTTGAGACAGGGTTTCTCTGTGTAGCCCTTGCTGTTCTGGAACTCTCTCTGTAGGTGAGTCTGTCCTCAAACTCAGAGATCCACCTGCCTCTGCCTCCCGAGTGCTGGGATTAAAGGTGTGTGCACTACCACCACCCAGCCTTCTTGTTTCATTCAAAGCCAAATAGAAGCAAAAATATTATGGGATAGATTGCAGTATCTTTGCAATCACCTACATCCGAGGTCTTTGCCTTGTCCATTAGATGCGAAATCAAGGTCTTTTCGCCAGGGCTGGGAACTATATAACAGTGAGGGGGTGAGGGATTGTGAGGCCACCTTAGAATCTGTCTGTCACAGTGGGCAGGGGCATAGGCCCTTCCTAGAGATACTAGTATGGCTGTAATGCAATGAAAAAGGAAGGATATCTGAGGGTAGTGATAAAAAGTCCCAGGCTACTTTGCAGATGATAAATAAGTCCAGTAGACCAGAATGTACAGTTAATAGATGGAACTCTCTTTCTCCCTTTGTTTAACAGGGATTGCTGTCTCCAAACCATAGTCTTTACTCCAAGATGAACCCATTAGCCTGATGGAGGCCAAGTTTCTCTTCCCAGGAGGTTGGGACACGCCATCCTGGGTACCATCCTGGGTGCCATCCTGGGTGACTTACTGCAGAACCTTGATTCCTGCATACTAGAATCCAGCCATTCCCTGCCACCTTTGTGGACTTCAAGATGTCCTGGCTGGATCAGACTCTGGACAAACAGGTTCTACCAAATCTTAGCTTTTGGTTCAGGCTTCATTTATAGCAACAGAGTTGGGCTGGGGAGATGGCTCAATCATTAAGATCACTTGCAGTTCTTCCAAACGACACAGGTTCAGTTCCCAGAACCCATGTATGGAGACTTGCCTACTCTAACTCCAGCTTCCAGGGATCCAATACCCTCCTCTGGCCTCTGCAGAAACATGAATACATACAGATTTTAAAAAATAAAGCAAATCTTCTTTTGAGACAGTGTCTTACTGTGTAGCCCTGGCTGGCCTGGAACTTGCTATGTAGATCAGGATAGCCCTGAGCTCATAGAGATCCCCTGCCTTTGCTGGGATTAAAGGCATATGCCATCATACCCAGCTCAGTGTGATGAGAAACTCAAGTGGCTTGCCTGACAAGCGTTGAATCTGGGCCCAATCCCCAGCAGCACGCATACAAAATGCAGCAAAGGGGCTGGAGAGGCTTCTCAGTGCTTGAGATGCACACCGCTCTTCAGAAGGACCCAAGTTGAGATCCTAGAGCTCCTGTCAGTGCCTCACAACTTCCTGTTAGCTCCAGCTCCCGAGTCTCACGTACGCATGTCCACACACATAAATAATGCACTGTACACATAAACAAATCTTCCTTTAAAAAAAACAGTGGCAGGCTGCATAATGGAGAGATAGCTCAGCAGTTAAGAGCTTTGGCTGTTCTCCCAGAGGTCCTGAGTTCAATTCCCAGCACCCACATGGAAGCTCACAACTGTCTGTAGCTCCAGCTCCAGTGAATCTGGCACTCTCGAACCAGCATACAGACACATAAAAATAAAAATAAACTATTTAAAAAAAATGAATGGCAACAGGTAATTCACCCCCCTTTCTTTATAGAGTGTCTTAGATTTCTAATGCTGTAACAAAACACTACAACCACAAGCAACTTGGGGAGGAATGGGTTCATTTTAGCTTACAGTTTGGAGTTCACCATCCAGAGAGGTCAGGACAGGACACC